AAAAGGATACTCTTAAATACGGTCAAGGATACCCTTAAATACGGTCACTTGAAAAAAGGATACTCTTAAATACGGTCAAGGATACCCTTAAATACGGTCACTTGAAAAAAGGATACTCTCAAATACCGTCAAAAATAACCTTGAATACGGTCACTTGAAAAAAGGATACTCTCAAATACCGTCAAAAATAACCTTAAAGACGGTCACTTGAAAAAAGGATACTCTTAAATACGGTCAAGGATACTGTTAAATACGGTCACTTGAAATTTTTTAAGTCGTTGAATCAGTAAGTCAAATCTTTTATGTTCATCCCGATGATATCGTAAACCATTAATTCTTATTTTGTCTTTAATTTGAATACTCGTAAAACAGTACTCTACCTGCCTGATCAGTTTTTTTTAGAGGACGTTTACGTCTGAAGATGAATCAAGTACATTAAGCCTAAATAAAAGTAGTTCATGATTTATCAAACTGATCAAAGAATTCAGAAAAGTTGGCATGTTTGAAACTCACAGCGCGTTCTAGCTAGAGAAGTTTATGTGTGATGATTATCGCACCAATACAGTAGCTCTTGTGACTTATTCGTTCGGTAGCTAGTGCTGTTTTAAATTCTGGGCGCGAAGAAATGCCGTGATTCTCGAAAGAGAACTGTCGTATCTTTAATAAAACTGGTAGAAAGATTCAGAAAAATTGACAAGACTGAATCTCACAGAGCGTTCGAGCTAGAGAAATTAATGAATGGTAATTCAGTGCCCTTCGAAAAGCTCGTGTGACTTATTCGTACGGAAGCTGTGTGCCGAGCGGAGAAAAACCACATAGTAGGATAAAACATGCACTAACTATGCATGGACGAAGCGACGAACAACAAGTTTGAGAAGAAGTTTGGGGACATTGTATCTCGATAACAGACATTCACGTTTGAAGTTGAATCGAAGCTTGAAGCTTAAAAATATATTGCCATTCTGTAAAGAAGGTGCTTGTTTGGTGCTTGAATGAACGCCTTCAACAATAGAACATGAGTCGAGAGTGGAACGCAATCTCTGACATGGCTATGAATACGGTGGAAAATCACGATAGTAATTTTACTTCTAAATGAAAGCATTTCAACATTGATAATTATGTTCGTTTTTGATTTTATCTACCTTAAAGAGAACAACAGATGAAGCATATTTCTATTTAAAAATATCATAACTTCATCCACACTCCTCCTTCTCCACTCCTGTAATGGGACGCATGAAGTCTGGCTTTTACAATGATGTAACTAACTCCATCTCCACGTACGTGCCAAAAATATATTATTACGTAAGTCAAGCTTGATTAAGGGATACTCCTAAATCAGGTAAGGACACTCCAAAACCATGTTAAACCATTATACCCTAAATCAGGTAGGACTGACACTCAATAAGGTTAGGGATACTCCTAAATCCCGGATTAAATGCCCGGCAGTTCTTAATTTTCGACGATTAGTCAACGATTAGTCAACTATTATTAGAATTTTATAAAAGTTACAACAACAAAAAAAATTGGGATTTTTTTTTTCAGTGGCCATGCATTTACGGTCACCCATCCGGGTACTATCTTGCCTCATTCGGACATGACCCAATGTCATTGAAGCCCAAGTTTTTCCCACTGGACCACGGGCCCAGGCTAATTAGAATAACAATAGCCGTGAAAACAATGCACCAAATATACTAGCCTATTTAACATCAACTTTTCAACCGCTTCCGTGCGTTGCAGAGATGCAAGGGATTAGCCGATGTGGTCTGGGGGCCGGCTGGTCTCTCCCGTGATGCTTCGGCTAGAACATTTTCTTGCGTAATTCGTACACCCAAGGGCAGAAGGATTTAATCGCCGTCAGGTCCGAAGTCCATACGCCGTCTCAGCTCTGCGGATGTCTCGGGGGTATGGCAAAGTGGAATCGATTTTTTTTTTGTTTTTTTTTTTTTGAATTTTTATGTGTTGGTTCAAGCCCCATCGTATATAAAAAATGTATCATTATCAATTTGTCAATGATATATATTTTTGAAGTGACGAATCTCCATCGCTACCTGTTGAAAGGACAAACTAATCTCAAAAATGAATTGTCCAACTAGATAGTACTAACCTTGGTTACCATACCGGCTGAAAGGACAAAGCTACCATTGACAAAGGATTTGTCCTTCTAAACCTACGGTCAGTACTAACCTATGTTATCATAACGGTTGAAAGGACAAAGTTACTCTTACAAATGGATTGTCCTTCTAGATGGCGATAACCTATGTTATTATATCGGTGTTGAAAGGAAAAAGCTACACTTAGAATGGAATTGCCCTTCTCAGTATAGATATATGTCACTAACCTATGTGTTCTTACCGGTTAATTTACGTCAAATCATGCAGCAATTATATTCTTATTATATCAGAAAACAAATACGGTTTCCATTTTAAATCAGTGTTTCTGAACGCAAAACGATTTTTTCAGGTTCCTGTGTAATGTTTTTTAACTTCTGTTTATTGAAAATTCAAATTCAGGATTCATTTTTCTATTTCTTGATTTTCTGAAAACAGAAAACAGCTATATGTTTTTGTCAAAGAACACCAAAATATACAATAAAATACATTTAATGGAGGAATATAGTTTAGTGATTTTGCACTAGCTACAAACATCCATTCCCCAGGCGTGAACTTCATTTGACCACAACTATTCACATCTATGAAAATGATCTTTCTCATAATCAAAAAAGGTACTTTCACTGTATGTGCACTGCATTGGACCATGACTATTTCGCATCGATTGAAAGGACCTTTCTCATAATCAAAAAATTGTGCTGCACTAAATGCAAGCAGCTAGCAATATCTTGTCGGAAAAATTTTTTGCGCTAAAAACAAAGTTCAAAAATATATCAAAGGGTTTGGCTTCCATTATTGAAATTGGGAATTGGGTTCTAATATTTTTTTAACAGAGAACGAGTATATACCTTATCTATGAATGCACATCTATGAAACCATAGATTGATAGAACTATACACAAGTTACAGGTTATTAGTTTCCTTGATAAAATATACACTAGTGTATTTATACAATCTGCACCGCAGTGCATTTGGTAATTCGACAAACAATAGAGTTCTCAAACATAATTGCTTGTCAAATGTTGTGATCCCAATGAGTTAAAATGAAATGCTTTGGTGGGTAAAAACAAAGCAGTGAATATTGCGCGGTAAAATAGTTGTTCCTGTTAACAACAGCTAGCAAGTAGTTCAAAACTGTTAACTGAGAGCATTGGAAAAGTGATCGAGCGAGAATTAAAACGAGGTATTGGAAGTTATTGCATTTGGTTTGCGATCTTTAAACAGTATGAGCCATGAAAGAAAGAAGATTTCCTATACGATGTGCTCTGCAGGATTCATCAGTAATTTTTAGCGCATTGGCGTTCTAGATCGTTAATGTATTTTCAATTCAACCATACAACTTTGAAAAGTTATTAAAAAGGGAGGCGTTTTGATGGGTGTCGAGTGACAGTGCATGTCCAAAAACTTTTGTAATTTCGAAACGTACCCAAACTAGCATAGACCGCCTCAGTATCCATTGTTTTCAATGCGTAAGGCATATGATAAGTTGCCTATCTATTTTTTCAAACAGAGCAAGACAACTCATACTTCTTCAGACGTCGATCAAACATCATCATTTGCGGATAAAGGGCGAGGCAATCCACAAATATTGCACCTGAGGTTTGCTTTGCTTTGATTTGATTTGCTTCGCTTTGCTTTGCTTTGCTTAGTTTTATAGCATCGAATCACTCGTTTTAGGTATTTGAACATCATGAATTCCAAGCTCATCGTTGTCTTTCTTCTGTGCGCCATCCTGGTCGTCTCCGTGACCTCAAGGCCTGAACGTTCGTGGGATGATTTGGACGGGATAGAGGAATACGAAGAAAAACGGACTTTCAAACGAGGTATCAAACAGTTATTTCATGCAGTAGTGTTTTATTGTATACATAAACATGTTATTAAGAAGAAGAAAATTAAAAAGTAACAATGCAAAATAATATGTTTGTTTACRAATGATGAAACGACAGAGCGTGATGTTACCCAGYATTTTGTTGAGAAGGATAAGCGATTTTGATTGTTTTTTATCCTTATAGGATGCTCGGACTACAAGTCGTCGACCTATTGTAATAGTGTGAAATCACGCAATGAGTGTGGTATCTCAAAGTACAGATCGTATTGCCGAAAGTCATGCGTATCACTCGACGAAAAAATGGATTTGTCATGTAGGCAAACATATAGACAAATATATGGGCAAATATCATATTTGACTAATAGTANCTTTATTTAATGAGGGTGGCACTAAATAGCAAAAACTATGCTAATAAACCTATGGCCCTCTACAATAAGCTAAAAACCTATAAAAACTATAAAAGAGACTATAAAAATTACTAGGATTAAAAAAAGAAAAAAGGAAAATAAAGAATAAAAAATACCCAAAATCTTGTGATAGAAATTTCAAAATGTATACGAAATAGATTGGATGACAAAAGGTGTGAAAAAAAGTCACAGTCCACTAAAGATACTTAAATAAAAAGTAAGGAATTCCCAAATACATTTTTCTAATTAGATACACAATATATTTTCATTCGTGTTCAATTTAATCCTCGGTGAATTTCAGGATTTTCAGTGTTAGGATCCCTTCCCTGTTGAACGACATAGTGACGTCAAAACTCCTAATTTGGTCAAAACAGGGAGCTGCCATACACCACCCAACAGTAGTATGTGTCTTCATCATGTCCGCTACAGCAGAGCGTTAGTCAGATATGTCGGACATTTGCGTCGTTGTAGATAGCAAGGACTTTGGAAAAGCAGGGATATTTGGTATAAACGTAAGTAATATATAGAGATGTTTGTTCAAGATGTCTTTTCGGGTGGGCGATCGACAGATACAGACTTTTGATTATGTATGTGCGACTAGTTGAGCGAAAAGAATGGAAAAAATGTATGGTCTAAAAACATTAGTTTGAAGATAAAGTTAACATATTCTCATCAAAGTTAATATAGTTGTGGTTTTATGACAATATATATCTTTACGAAACGTTTAGAAGTGCTTGAAGCTGAGAATAAATAAAGGAATTTGAAATGTTTGTACCAGATTAAAGAGCAGCCTGTGATACATTATTAACGTCGATTCGATTCGTAGTCTCATGCACTGTCTTGAGGTAACTATTTATTCATCTATTCATCACTTCGCGTTCATCAATCCATCCATCCATTCATCTTTCCATCAGTCTATTTATCCATCCATCTATCCTTCTATCCGCCATCTAGTATTTATCTATCCATCATTTTCCTCATTCACAATGAACCATTCACAAAAACCATCATAGATCTATGAATTCAAATTTAGGTGGCAGTTTAAATGGAGTTTGTTGTCCATAGCTAGAAAAGACATTGTACCAATAAAACTTAATAAACGTGCCACTGACTTGATGGTAAAGAGTAAAAAGAAATGCTGTGTGATTGGAAATGTAAAGTCGTTTTATTTTTTTAAACTTAAGATTTTCAGATTAATTACAGTATCATAACGAATATGAAAACATGATTCTCAAATGATACCGCTGTTCTAGAAATAAACCAATTACATATTTAATTAATAAGGTCCCTCAGTGTTTTATAACGTGAAAAATCCAATATCGAAATTCACTTAACGTAGTTCCTAAGCCTGAACATACTAGATATTTATTGTGCCGATTCAGAGAAAATGAATTATACGAAACTATTTTGTTTTTCAAATACTGTTCTGTGAATGCAATGCATTAATAATACTTTATAGAAAAAGAAAAAGACATTACAGCGGCTTTGTTACTCCTCTGTTTGTGACTGAATGAATTTGTGTTCCATCAACAGGAGTCCATACAAATAAACAGACTTTCATCATTAAAGAATGAATAATCAAATCTTTACTCAAAAAAACAACCAAAAAGCAAAATCCAAAGGAGCTGACAAATATCGAGCAGCTTCAAGGTGGCACAGAATTTGGCAAACGTTCAAAATCTTAAGCGTGTCTGTTATTTCTACCATCGCTTTGTTCGTCTTTGTTTCGTTGGACGTCAATCAGGCTCTAAAGGCAATGGAAAAGGAAACAAACGTACAAGAAGCGGTAGTGTATAGTATAAAAGTTGCTGATTTTATCCATCATTTGCAAGACGAACGCGGTTTAACTGTGCTAAGCATTAGCTCCAATCAAGACAAAGAAATTGTTGTTCGTTTAGAAGAAGCACGAAGAAAAACTAACGCAGTTATGAAGAATTTACTATCCTTACACGAAAGTGCTATTGAAAGATTCACATCCATAGAAAGATTTTCAAACCTCATCTATGAGCACAGAAAGATGATTGGTTATGGAGGAAGAAATTCGAATGTTAACGAGGAAGTGGCGTTTTACTCTGATATTATTCAGTTCTCGTTAGATTTTCTGCTAGAGTCTTTCAGCAAGAATTCTATTGATGATTTTACGCTAAGTCTTCTTGGGTACCAGATGTTTTTAGTCGCCAAAGACAAAACCGGAATTGAGAGAACTCTTGGTAGATCTTTCTTTTCTCGAGGCCGTTTTGATGAAACTGAAGACCTATTGTGGTACGCAGAGCAAAGTATCATGGGTAAGTAACCGGCAAAATATTGATACAAGGACAAGTTAGTTTGATCATCTTTGCATGGCATAAGTTTGCATGCTTCCTTATCTTCTTTTGCCGTCTGATCTCATTTTCTTTCAGTTCCTTTTTCACTTCTTTTCGTTTACCTATTCCCTAGCCATCTTTTTTCTCTTCTTCTTCATTTTCTTCCTTTTCTTTTTCTTCATCATCTTCATCACTATCACCACCATAGTTTATCATCATCTGATCTTCTCAATTATTTTTCTTCGTCATTTTCTCGTTGTTTTTCATTATCATCATCGTCATCGTCATCATCATCATATTCCTTTTCTTTTTCTTCTTCTTCTTCTTCTTCTTCTTATTTTTCTTCTTCTTCTACTTCTTCTTTAACCTCTCCTTCTTCTTCCTCTGCTCATCTCTTTTTTCTTCTAATTCTTCTCCTTCATCATCATCACCATCATCATCTACTTCGTCGTTGTCATCTTCATCATCTCTTTCTCCTTCTCCTTCTCCTTCACCAACAACATCATCTTCTCCTTCTCATTTATCATCATCACTATCATCATCTACTTCTTAATCTTCTTCTCCTTTTCTTCCTTCTTATTGATCATCTCATCCTTCTTAATCATCATCATCACCATCTTGACCTTCGCCAACAACATCTTCTTCTTTTTATCAGCATCATCTTCTTTTTCCTCCTCTTCCTTCTCCTTTGTCATCATAATCATTAAATTGATGTCCTTCTCGTCACTGAGATATGTTTGTTCTTTTCCTCAGGTAAGTCACTACTGAAGAGAAGCATGAAATACATGCCACAGCTTAAACACCTCTACGAAGCAGCCATCTTCAGTTCAAATGACATCAACATGACACAACTCGTCCAGATGCGGAAAGTTCTCATGAAGAACGAACCAAGGCCATCGAACAGTACAGCAGGAGAGCTGTGGTTTTCTCATATGTCCCAGTACATCAACGTTCTTCTCCAAGTCCAGAAAGCTGCTGGTGAACGAATAGTTACAGTTCTACAAATGACAGTCGATCAGCAGGAGCTACAGCTGATATTTCGCATTACTATTTTAGTCGTTGTTCTCATATTGACGCCATTGCTCGTTCTAGCTGTCACGCGTATGACAAACACTATCCAGAAATACGCAGCGAAGCTTGAAGACATCACACTGAATCTGAAAGAAGAACAGAAACGAACAGACAACGTGTTGTCGGCCATGTTCCCTAAGTCTGTAGCAGAAACCCTGAAGAGAGGAGAGAAGGTCAATTCTGAATACTTTGACAGTGTGACGGTGTTCTTCAGTGACATCGTCAATTTCACCAACATCTGTGCATGTATATCACCTATCGAGGTTACATCCATGTTGAACAGTATCTACAGGTAAATATGGCTTATAACAGTGGTATTTTTAATGGTAATAGTGGTCACCATAGGGATAGCAATAGACACATAACATTAGTAACCACGGTGATGGCTGTGGTCACCATATGAATAGTAGATATTACTAAATGGTTGGTAAATGGTTGTAGTTACCATAGTGATAGTAATGGTCAAGATGCTTGTGGTTACCATAGTAACAGTATTGGTAACCATTGTGATAAGACCCTAGTAGGAATAGTTATTATCATAGTCATGGTAACAGTTGCCTTGGAAGGGGTTGGAATAGCCATAGTATAGTCATGGTCACTATAATAAGAGTTGTGGTCACCATAGTGATACCAGTTGTAAACACGGTGATGTTAGTAGTCGGCATAGTGATCACGATGGTCGCTATAGTGATGTTGGTGCGAGAACCCAAATAAGTTTGTTTCTCCTGTTGATATAATCCAATTGTTTTGCTCGAGCTTTATTCAATTGTATTGATATGACAGCGCCTTCGACGACAAGATCGATAAGTATGACGTGTACAAGGTGGAAACAATAGGAGATGCTTACATGGTTGCATCTGGTCTTCCTGTCAGAAACGGAGGTAAACACGTCGATGAGATCTGTCGTATGGCACTGGACCTCGTCAAGGTAACGGAGACTTTTAAACTTGATCAAGTCCCTGGTGAGACTCTCCTCATCAGGGTTGGGATACACACAGGTAAGTAAATGTTTATTTCAAACGGGTTCCAGAGTTGAAGGAGCAAACGCGCGAACAAACATTCCCACCAAATGAGTAGGACCGCGCTCTTGGTCAAAATAATAAGAAAAGAAATATCGATAAAAGTTTAAGAGTGGTTCTACAGAGTTTCTTTCGGGCCTAATCCACATAGGCATAATATTTTTCCTATACTTCAGAGCAAGTGTCACTTTTTTGAGAATAAGTTTGTTTGAGTTGTATCCATATTCATGTTTCTTCTAATACACGTAACTATTAAACAAAGAAATGTTACTCCAGGGAATAACACGTGGTCTGAAACGGTGGAGAAGATATAGAGAGCACATGCACAGGAGAGATCCAACGAGTAACTCTACTTTCATATGACATCGAGTCCGGGTATCAAACCTGGATGGCATTGGTGAGAGGCGAGCGCTCTCACCGTACGTTACACCACCCGTGTTTCCTCACCTCAAGTAAGAATGATATTCTTTGCTCATGACAATTTGACCGGTCTTCTTTGATTTCACTCCCAGGTCCCTGCGTGTCTGGGATTGTGGGTAACAAGATGCCAAGATACTGTCTGTTCGGGGACACCGTCAACACAGCCTCAAGAATGCAAACGACTGGAGATCGTGAGTTGAATAAATAGCATAAATAACAAGATAAACAACCTACCTCGTATCTCCTATTTTCCAGTGTTGATTGACCTTATTATTCTGCAGCACAGAAAATCCACATCAGTGAAAACACCAAAAAGGCATTGCAGGCTTTTCATTATTATAAAACAGAGTTTAGAGGCTACATTGACGTTAAAGTAAGTAGCTGATGTATAACCAAATTACTTTATTTAATTACGAACACATATTAACTCAACAGTAGCACAAAGCACTCAACTGGCTTTTTCATTGACGTCATTTTCAAGATCAGGTGATAAATTACAAATAAACATAGGGCTTTAATGTAAAAAGTAGCGTCATATGGCTTATTGACTGACGTCATTTTGAATATTCGTGATTATATTACCTTTAAATTTCAAACGCATACAGCTATTTCAAAAAAGGTTGAATACTGAATACTGCATACTGAATACTGCATTCCAAGGCCGATGTGCATTGTGGGTCATAGCGTTATTGTTTAAAGTAGGATTAATAATAATTATTTACAATATTTTTTTGTGTATTCCATCAGAAACAATATATTCACTACATGTAGAGAGTTAATTGCTGTATATTTATACGAGAACTGCATGCAATGCCCTTTGGTCTAGGAATGCACTACTCACTATGCAGTATTCATTATTCAACCTTTTTTGAAATAGCTGCATATATACATACTTATTTCAATAAAGTTAGTCACCAATAACCTAGAGAGCTGAGATCACTGAGGATCCTGGGTAACTTTTAATATCAAACAAGTAAAACTTTTTTGATACAAACTGCAGCTTAAGGATGCTCAGAAGAGGTGAGACTGTATTGATAGAAGATGTGCAAGCCCATCAACAGTTATCAAGCGGTTGAAACATGTAAAATATATCTACCCATGGTCCTTGTCGGTCTCTGCTTTGTAGCTTTTAAGGTGACTAACTTTATTGAAATAATTGAAATAAGTATAACTTGAAAGTAGCACTTAGCTTTGAGATGGCTTTTAAATAAATCTATTTCTTACAGTAATAACGGTGTCTTTTTTCAGGGTAAAGGTAAGATGCAAACCTTCTGGCTTCTTGGTATCAATGTACATCTCCATTCAAGTCTAATACTTCAAAATGTTCCCTGACAAAATCCCCAATATCATATCAGCCCAAAATCCCAGACCACTATTTTTTACCCAGCTTCCCCTCGGCCAAATTACACCGTTAGTTAATAAAAGGGTCTGGAAGAATACTCTTTAAATTATGGTGTCTGATAAGATTTTAGTGAGAACTGAATATGATTGGGCAGAATGTATCTTACGACATTTCTTTGATCCAAATATATAGTCACTTGCATTAATTTGGGGAATGTATATTACAAGCATCCAGTCTCTTTGTTCTCACTGCTTACTGTTTGGCCGAGAGGGATCTGGGTTTTGTTCTGGTGTAGGTAGACCAAGGTAGACCAGTTTTCCTGGGTTTTACTACGCCACAATGAATTTAATTCATTCAATAAGATTGAAATTAATGGCAATTTATTTTCTCGTGTTAATGATGAATGTTTCAAATTGTTCTTGACTTTGATGCAATAGAAATTAACAACATGTAAATATTGTAAATAATAAAAAAAATCACAATAATAAAATCACAATAAATGTTGCACCTTGATTTGTTTTATCAGCCAAACAAGCAGTAATAGTACACTGGACTTGTCTGTCTGTCACAGACAAAAAGTGCAAAAGTGCTCGGTGGGTGACAGTTATAATACTCTATGGTCTTGTCTGTCTGTCACAGTAGTCTTATCAAGTAGTATGGTTACAAAAGTGCTCGGTGGGTGACAGTTATAATACTCTATGGTCTTGTCTGTCTGTCACAGTAGTCTTATCAAGTAGTATGGTTACAAAAGTGCTCGGTGGGTGACAGTTATAATACTCTATGGTCTTGTCTGTCTGTCACAGTAGTCTTCCTACTCATCGTATTGTTCCCTTTTCCTCACACCAAGTGTGATGTCTTCAGTCACCGTCAARGTCGCTYTAGACTCAATRGTCGGYGGAATCTTCGTATCTTTTGTCACAACAAAAGAATAATTCTTCAATAGCCTTACCAKAACCARCTTGATTTCCATCTGAGCAAACCTCATACCAATGCAGYTCCTCGGCCCATGCCCAAACGGTTGGTAGACGTAGGGGTCACGTGAGTGCTTGGCTTCATCACTGAAGCGTTCTGGGTCAAACGTTTCGGGGTCTGGAAAGAAGTTGGGATCCCTGTGCATGCTGTACGAGGGTATTAGAATGATGGCTCCTTTWGGGATCTTGGTTCCTTTAATGACGCATTCCTTATTACATTGCCGAAGGAGTACTAAACCTTGAACAAAAATAATACATATGAACTAATTATTTATACACTGTTTGACAACTTTGACAACTCTCTGCTAAATAGAGGCCGGTTGCTTAGGGGCGGTACATATGAATTATTGCAAAAAAAACCCGATTGGTAATTGGATACATGCAAATTCCTCTTTGGAGGTTGGTCACTTAATAGAGGTGCAAAACCTCTTTTTGGGAATTGGACACATGGTTGCTGAACACAGTAAACAGAGATTGGTCGCTAAAAAGATGTATAAATTTCTGCAAAAACCCTTTTTCAAAACTTTGACAATTGGTCACTACATAACGGTTGGCCGCTTTATAGAAGTTCTATATACGTACCAGGAGGACAGAGCCTGAGAGTCTCCGATATCACCATGTCCAGGTAAGGTAGTTCATGTAGYGTCTCGTATGATGGCATCTTGTCTACATCAGTCCAGACAGTGTCAATCTCGCTCTGTAATCTTTCCTGGACCCGAGGATTGGTTGCTAGGTGATAGCATACCAAGGCTAGCGTAGTGCTTRACGTCTCGTAGCCACCCAATAGGAAGACAACACACTGTGCTACTACCTCGTCATCTGTCAGCTTCTTTTTGTCGGTTGAGTCGTGACTGGTGGAGTTTAGAATCAAGTCAAGAAGATCCTAACGAAATGAAATAAAATGTAAATTGTCGTGTAATATAACTACAGCAGTTGATGCGAGGCTCATTAGTATTCTTAGATCATGACTCCAATCTAGGAAAAAGGTATGCATTATCCTTAGGGAAGGTATAATTTTTTTCGGGGGGGGGGGGGGGGGCTGGGGCTTCAGATGGAAGGTTCAGCAGTACCAAAAAAATTTTGTTTCGAGTAAAACCACTCTATTTTATTTCAATTTCTATAATTTAGGGCAAGATGATAAACTTAAAAATTCCTAA